CCTGCATTTCCCCCTTCACTCTGTCTTAATACCCCTCTCAGAAAAAGAGGGCTAAGGTTTCAGAGAGATACACGGGCTGTGGCAGCTCTCGGTGACAGCATAACAGCCTGTGGTTTTCTGTCCAGCTTCGCTCGGTCATCAGTGTACTTGGGCGTTCGTGCGTGCGTGTGTGTGTGTATGTATGTGTGCAAGGGGTTTTACTCACTCCAGCCCTAGAGCTACGCTGAGCTTTAGAGCCACAGCCCCCTGCTGCTTCTCAGATTTGTGCTGTGTGTGTGTCTATCCTCCCAATCAACAAAGGCTTCTTGATACTGCTAGTCCGCAGTAGGTCTATGCTACAGGTCTTCTGAGTGAGGGGCCGGAGGCAGGGCCGGCGCTTTGTGATGTTCTCATAGGGGATTGTAATGAGTTGAGGATAGAGGGATAGTGTTGTTTATTTATGTATACACTGTTTTATTAAATTCAGGCATTTATGATTACTCTGATAGATGCTGGAGTATTACATTTTTTTTCTTGTGTTGTGATTTTATGTATTTATTCATATTTTAAAGATTTTTTTCATATTTTTAATTTGGCTTTTTAGCATCATTGTTGGCTCAGATATATGAGTATTTATATAATTGATTAAACAATTTGTAAATGTACAATACCGTACAAAAGTTGTTGTTGTTTTTTTGAAAAATGTATACTTTCAGAAGGGGGTAATAAATTGATCAAAAGAATGCTGAAACAATATCACACAGTTCGGCACAAAAATGTTTATGAGCACCAAATCAGAATATTAGAATGATTTCTGAAGGATCATGTGACACTAAAGAAAATTCAGCTTTGCCATTACAGGAGTAAATTACATTTGATAATATATTAAATGGGGAAAAAAGTAATATTAAATTGTAATATTTCACAATATTCATGTTTTTACTGTATATTTGATCATATAATGAGGCTTCTAAACATTTTAAAAGTTTAAAATGGCTACAAGCTTTTAAACGGTAGTGTTCATTTATATGAATATAATTAATATATTTAAATATTTTTTTGTCATCTACCATTTTTTTTTTGTCAGAATAAAGTGACAGCACATTGCTTGTTTTGTTTGTTGTCAGCCATTATGCATGACAGCATGATGTTTCTGCAGGATGTACCATGTCTCCCTGTCACCATGTTAATGGACTGACAGCATCAGCACAGTCTCTTGGTTTAATAGTTCAGTAGCTGGCTACTAACCCCTGACTTTTCCATGTAGGCCTTTGTTTCAGTGGGCTGCTGGTAAACAAAGACCATTCTGTGACCTGAGGTTTTTATGCGGCATTTGTCGACAATAGCAGCATTAGTTACCGTTGACTTCAAAAGAAATGAGGCATACTTTACTAAGATTGTTTTAAATAAATGGAGAAAAATATTAGGAAGAATTTAAATTGTGTTGTAAGAATATGTCTATAGTTGGTCAGTTTGAATGTTGGTTTCATGTGTAATGGCACATTTTTATATATCAGCCTTTTATATAAGATCAGCTGTTTCTGTTGGTAAGAGAATGTTGTTGATTTTTTTTTAAAAATAGAGAAATCTAATATTTAAAGTTTAAAAGTGTACTGTGACTTTCCCAAACTATATTCCTGTAAGTAAAATAGCCTTGGATGCTGCCATACCATTAAAATAAACAAACCACCCAAAATATTCTAATGCAAGTTGCTTTTCGACAGAGTAGCTTCCCAAAATAGAAAAATATCCTGATTGGTTATCATTACAATGTGTTTTTCCTTCTTTTTTCCGTTATTGTCTTCTATATTTCCTTTGTCTCAGTAAGGGCTATTTTCATTGTTGCTAAAAAAGAGAGAAGTAGGAAATAGGAACAAAAAATAATTGGACAGACTTTAAATGTAACTCGAAGTTCCTCTTTCACCTTTTAGAGAAGGAGCAAAGGCCGTGGTAGGGCTCAAAGCTTAAGTGATTCTTATTTATTTTTTATTTATTTATTTAGTCATTTAGCAGACACTTTTATCCAAAGCGACTTACAAATGAGGACAACAGAAGCAATCAATTGTAGTATTAAAACAACTAAAAACAGATCCAAAACTAAAAGCTAAAACTTTATAAATACTACTTATACACATTTTAAAAATAAAGAAATTAAATAAAAATGACAAATGCATACAACAAAATTTCAAAACTTAACATTTAAATGAAAAACAAAAAATAAAGCTAAAAACAATTCAAAATATTAAAGAACAAAAGGTATAAGAGAATAATAATAATGATTCTAACATAAGACTAAGCCAAACACCAAAAAAACAACTACATATATGTGTATGTACAACCATACACACATACATATATATATATATATATATATACATATATATACATATATACATATATATATATATATATACATACATTAGTGCTGTGTTCATATATATATTATTTCATTTCCATTTAGTTTGTTGAAGCATTAAAATAACTCAAATTAAATAAAAACTAAAAACTTAATAAAAGACCTATACAGACAGAATAATTTCAGACATAATGTAACTAAAATTAAAATAAATAACAAATACAAATAATACAAATCAAATGACAGTAGTTTATCAGTAATCCTAAAAAATAACACTGCCAAACTTACATGCTAAAAAACAACAACTTACTTACACATAGTAAGAAATGGTTATAAAAACTGAAACAGAAGCGAAACAAGTAGTAGGAAGTAGTAGTGTATTCTTCCACTCACTCTTTGGATAAGCACCATGACAAGGAAAAGAAGGTAAGGCAGCCTCCAAATCTACCTCACTTCCTGCCATGTGTGATTGCTGCCCCCCTCCTTACGACTTCAGACTATGAGGTAAACGCACAAAACCAAAACTCTTGTTTATCCGAAATATGCACCGCTGTGATTAGTTTAGTTTAAATTACACGAGCCACCGTCACCCTGTGCCGCCCCTCTCACGCACACTTTTCATATCCCACAAAGCTTTTAAAGCCACGGGAGGGAGAAAAGTGCCTTTTATCACTCAAAGTGATTAGTATTTTGGTGCTGCCACAAATTATCAACATAAAGAGAGCTGTATTCATAGAAAAGCTTCCGTCATGGCCATTAGTTCCACAAAGTACATTTAATCAGTATTGATATGTAGTGTAGTCATTTGTTCCACTAATTTTCTATACGCAGCCATACCGAATGAAACATGTAGCATTATTAGCCCTCTTTGCCTTCCCATCTAATTCAATTAAGCGTAGGCCCTGTAACATGGCTTCATATCAATAAATGTGTACGTAACGGCAGAAGACGATCTGTACTGAGTGGAAAAAATGTTTGATTGTGCCTCTGTATTTTTTTTCTTCTTACTGTAATAACGGGAGGTATATGAAACTCTAATCCAGCAGACCTCATAGTGTGAAATGTGCGTAGGAGCTCATCACATCTATCCATCGTCATTGATAATTTTCTGCCTGTCCCTCGCAGCTCCCACATATTTCGAACACGCAGCCTCTGTGCAGCCATCTTAATCAGCGATAGCTTGCCTTATTTGTTATGTGCGAACCGGGTCATTAAAATGGCTCTGTCGATTTAACATTTCTTTAAATGTTTCGTCGTATTTTTCAGTTTTTGATGTTTGTTGGAAGAATTTACATTTATTTTCATATGTTTCATTTATATTTAATTGTGTGTTCTGAACCTTTTTTGTCTTCATTATTTAATAATTCTGCTTAAGTTATTTTCTAGTGGTGATATTTTTAATTTAAATAAAATAAATTTTTGTCTTTTTTATCCCCTTGAAATGTAAAAAATGTAAATTCTTCTGAAACATCATTTTTTATTTTTGCTATTCTGCAAGCTTACCAACTTGCATATTAAGTCACAATTTAATTGTAAAGTGTGGAATCACACATGCATTTTTTTGTTTATATGTATTTTTTGTATTATTTTGCTATTGTATTTTGTGTAACAAAAAAATTAAAACAATTTCAGTCATTATGAATCATTTTAATGTAATGTGAAGCAAGTATTAGACTGCATTTAAGTAAAATGTATTACATTCATGTATTTAAATGTAAATCTGAAAGCTCACAATAGTCAGATGAACACTTACAGCGGGGAGTGGAGGTCAGACATTGAGGCTGTTGGTTATTTGACACAAATTCACTAATTATTTGAATTGGTTTGAATGAGTTTGCATTGGAAATGCATACCAAAATGGAGTGGATGGTGCTCTGTTAAGCTGCTCAGAGACAGACTGTTCAGCCTGTGTAATCTAGGTCAGCGAAAGATTAAATATGAGATGCCATTTAAAGCTGTTTCTCCCAGAATTATTCTGATGTTTAACTTCTTCGCCTTATTCTGCATTGAGAGGGGTTGATGTGAACAATGATTCGGGTTGGAGCCGTATTCTTGAAGATCGTGTTGTGGAGTGCTCTGTGCTCCGCCATGGCTATTGTTATGGCGCCTGATTTGCATTAGCAAAGGGGGCCCATCCCCCTTCTCCACATTCCCAGGTCAAAGGTCAGGGGGCTCAGATGTATACCTAGCTAATTCCAAACCCCAGGGCCAAACAACAATAGAGGCTAAAAGCTTCTCAATTTGCAGCTAGTTCAGATGTGCTCTGAAAGGCCGTCGAGAACGGCATCTGGGAATAAAATGATGTTTTCAATCTCTCTTCCTCCTCCTGCCTCGCATATCTTAAATTCTGATGTGTTTGGGATTTTAGCTTTGTTTTCTAGATTAGTTTTTTATTTTTTATTTAAACTTTTTAATTTATTTTAAGATTTATTATATTTATTCATTTCCGTAGTTGAATTTTAATACTTAGCCCGAAGCCTCAGGAGTCATTTCTTTGTTCATCCTGAAAGAGATTTGCTACATTTCACTAATCTGCTGAAGGCATTGATGAATTATGATAAGTGTCTTGGCTTTTTTTGCAGTGCCTCTTTTGCAGTGTCCTCTGCCTGAACTATTCATCTTTGTATAATTAAGATAGCTGTCATCTTATGTCAAACTCTTGCAAGACGTTTATGTCAGAATTTTAATTAGACCAGTAAACAGCAGTTCATTACGTAAGGGTCTGCATATCTAGACGGTTTCAATTTATTTATTTGATGGAAATAAGATGAATGTTATGCTGTGTATTTTTCTTTTTTTCCATTCATAAACAAAGCCAAGTAGCAACATGATTTTTGTTTCTCACAAAAACACCTGCCCTGTCAACACCTTTAGGAACAATGTTAATTACTTGAAGCCTTGTCTTTGCATACAAAACTGGTTTGTGATTTTTAAAATAATGTTTTGTGATTTAGAGTATGAGCAAATGATTTTTAAGCATAGCAAAAACAGTGACATTTGGATATGTGGATAGGTTGCGAATGAAAACCAATAGCATTGAGTATTCAATACAAACACAATCTTTTCCACCCACTTAAAAAAATTCCCAGGGTGCTTATTCAAAACCTTCATTTCAAGTTTGTATGATTTTCGTATTCTAAGAAAATGGCATTTAAAATAGTATATGCAGGAAAATTGTAAATGGTGTAGAGGAAGCGGAAACTCATTTTCATTTTCATTGAAAAACTTGAGCCTGAGGGCCTCTGGAATTGTCACCACCACTTGCACTGAGAAGTAGCATAAACCGTTATCATGTTCAGAATAATTGTCGATTCTAACTGAGACAATGGCTGAAAGATGACAGAAGTGGCTAAAAAAAGATAGACGTTTGTATATCACTCCAGTGGGGAATGTGTAAATATTCTCTATGAATGGTTCTGGATCACTGCATATTTTTACAGCCGCACTCTTAAGAACAGAAACGGAGAGTTTGGAGGTGTTCGATTGGAGTGCGAGGTGTAAATTTGTTCACGCTCCTGCTTCTCGGGCGCAAATAGAGCTGTGTGGAGCGCGGGGTGTAAATTAAGCTGCAGTAGACTCTGGTCAGGCCTGCAATGTGAAACCTTATCCATCTACAGGAAAACCCTTTCTTTTCCTCTACGTGATGATCTTAATGGGCAGCACAAGTGGCTCTCCTTGCTGGGTTTGAAGAATGCATGCAAACGATTGACTTGTTCCAGGGTGTCCGCGGGGTCTTAAAAAGTATTAAAAGTTGATAAATCAATTTAGAGAAAATGAAGGCCCTTGAAGTATTAAAGGGGTCATATGATGCGATTTCAAGTTTTCCTTTCTCTTTGGAGTGTTACAAGCTGATTGTGCATAGATAAGATCCCTGAAGTTGCAAAGACTAAAGTCTCAAAACCAAAGAGATATTCTTTATCAAAGTTAAGACTCTGCCACGCCCCCCTAAAACGGCTCGTTCTAACACGCCCCCACATATCTACCCCACTATGTGGAAATATTTGCATAATGCACCCAAATGTGCACGCAAAGAAAGAAAGCGTGGTTTCAGTAACCGCAGTTAGTGTTGAAGCAGCCATGTCAGGGAGACGCTGTGTGTTTCTCTGATCAGTCAGGTGTTTGTCATGAGAAGTGTTCCACAAAACAGCTATGGTTTGAGTTGATGTGACAAATACATCTTTTGAATATACTGTGTGTACTCATTGCCACGTTAGCTCGGAGAGCTTTATTTTCCCTCCTCAATAAGTTTTGTCAGTTGTTTTGTTTATTGGTCTAATTCTTGTTTCTTGGGTTGCATTGGTTAGTCACTCAATTAATTCTCTTATGCTTCGTTCCCCACTTCTGAATTATGTTGTATTGATAAGGAGTAAGTCTGTTTATTTGCGCTATCTTACAATCAATAGTAAATGTAAGTTAAAGTGTCACAGATGTAACCGGTTAAAACTTGGTGTGGCGATGAGGTCTTAAAAGGTATAGTTTCCCATCTTTCTGCCTCTTTGTTTCAGAAAATGACAGTGTAGGCTAAAGTCCTTCCCAAGCTCTACTGGCTTTAGTTGAAGCATTTGCGGTACCATCTTCATTTAATGTTGTTTTTTGTGTTGTTTCATCACAGAAACATAAAGAAAGAGATCGCCACAAACCAAAGCACAAAAAGGCTTTGGAATTATCACCTTCCTTGGTGCCAGCACTGATGGTGTCCTCTGAGAAGGTGAGTTAGATTATGATAGATGCATGAGTTTTTTAATTTAGATTCATTTATATATATATATATATATATATATACACAACAACACTACA